AACTCAACAGTAAAATAAAAATAAAAGTAAAAGGCATAGGATTTGAGTAGACATTTGTCCCAAGAAGATGCACAAGTGTTTGGTGAGCACATGAAGGTGTGTGCATCATTGTTAGTGCTCAGGGCCGTGCAAAGCACATCACAGCAAGACACCACTTTATACCCACTGAGGTGGCTGTAAAAGGTAAATGACATAAATGGAAAATGACAGATGTTAGCAAGGATGTGGAGAAACGGGATCAATCCTCACACGCCATTGGTGGGAATACGAGCAGTGTAGTCACTAAAAAATAGCCCAACAGTTCCTCAGAAAGGTAAAATGAATTACCATAAAGCCAGCGATTCCACTCCTAGGTATTTATCCCAAAGCACTGAAAAACATATGTTCATGCAGAAACATGAATGTGTGTTCATAATGGCATTATTCATAATAGCCAAAACTTGGGAATAATCCAGATGTCCACCAGTGGATAAATGGGTAGGTAAAATATGCTATATCCATTACTGTGAGGACAAGCTGGAATAAACTTGTCATTACTTTTATTTGTTTTTGTACGGGCATTAATTACAAAGTGCACACACTGGGTCAGGAGACAGAGTTACGGCCTGCACCATATTGCTTTCATTTTGCTTGCCTCAGCTTCCCTGTTGTTTTTTAAAGGAGTAGTTAGCCAAGCTCAGGGGCCCCTTGCAGCACTTATTGTCCAGAGTCCTGTGTGTGTGCATGGTGGTTGATGAGTGGATTACACCAGCCTTTTGGAGCCTCACTGGGCTCAGTAGCTCACTGCCGCCTGCTGCACCCATGGGTCCACAGCCCATGGTCCTCCTTGCTTCTCTCCATGTTACCTTCTTTTTCAGTCGAGCTGCAGGGTGCAGGTCCCCTCCTGCCTCTCCATCTTGGTCCACGCCTCACAGCACCCAGCTGCGGCTCTCCCCAGGCTGGCCACCATCAGCACGCAGAGCCACTGTCTGTGGTCGAGTTGTCACTGCACAAGCTGATGGTGGAACTTGGTCCTGTACTGTCTCAGAGAAGCCCAAAGAGCTGGGCTTCCACTGCCTCTCTCAGCCTTCCAGGCTCTTCTTTTAGGAGATTTCTTGCCACCAGATGGAAGGAATTCTGAAGCCAGCTCTCTTCCTTCTACCCCCAGGTCACAAAGGAAAACAGAAACCACCTTCTGCCAGATATTGTGATGTGTGTGCAGAGCAGCAGGACATAAGCTGGGCTGAGTCCCTGCATTGCCGCCCCCAAGGTCGTCTGGGTCAAGCACAGCTTTTGATGCCTCCCTCCCTTCCTGTGTGCTGAGTGAGGTTTGGTGCCTCCAGGTTTATGGACCTTGTAGGCTTTACCCAAGAAAGCTTGACAACTGCTTTCCGTAAAATGTTTGAAAGATCAAGTTAGCCTTGATGCTGGTGGGTTGTGCGTGATTAACAACCCACTGGGGCTAATTTGTGCTTACAGCTTTGTGTTTATTTACTCTTTCAGCCAGGCACATGATTTGGTTGCAAGGTGAGCAATGGGTTCAGAGTATCAGATGGAATGAGCCCCCACTGATGTATATAAATGTGTCTGGGAGAGGAGAGAAACATTCACCCTAATCAGCTTACTGTGTCATGAAGACTAAATGCTCTCCAGGTGCAGCTTTGGTCTTGTGCTGCTCAAAGTGATTAACAGTTATTTGATTTTTTAAAAATTATTATTTCTAAAGAAAGTCATTGTAGCTTCTCTTCCCCATTTCTTGTTTATTTCTTTGTGTATTGCCTAATAAATACAGAAATAAATCTGATGGTACAGACACAATCTTTAGGACATTGATACAAGGATAAGGATGAGGGTGAAAGTCTGGGGTTCACACCCGAGCCTTGCTAGGCTGAGTTAACTTGGGTGCATTTGGAACCTTTCTGGACCTAGTTTGCCTTTTAACAAAGAGAGGTAATGACTGTCATGGGAGGGGGTGGCACTGCATAAGACAGTGTCCTCAGCTGTTCTGCCCATCCCTGTGAGAGTGCTCAGTCTTGGGGGCTGCAGGAAAAATAGGAAAGGAGAGAAGATGCAGAAACTCCAGAACTCGTGAAGCTGAAGATTGCCGTCCATGTGGCTGGTAATCCTGGAGAAGTGGGAAGCTCCGGGATTTTAGGTCACTTTCGGTAAAGATCTATGAGTACCCATGAAAGTTTAGCAACCAGCGCTAGCTACACATGCACTGGTGTGAATGCAGTATGTCCCCTCTGTGCCTGGACAGATTGGGCGTGTGTGTCTGCAAGTGCCCATGATGGTGTATGAAGCGCCCCTATCTAAACACTGCCCACAGCCTGGACAGATGCTCACATTGTTGCAGTTTCCTCTGGAGAGCTTTTGAAGCCTGACCTGAACTTGCCAAGCTTTTGAGGGCCACAGCACAGAGGCCTGCTAGATTAGGGCCACTGCCTGGTAGGGAGGTGTAGGCATCTCCTTCCACTGTCCCTACCTGGGTGGGCTGTTCACGGAAGCCATAGGCTGAGCTCAGGACATCTGGCAGGCCAGCTGTGACCTCAGCAGCCACTGGAATGGGAGGGGCACTGAACACTGGTGTGGGCCATGTGCTTCAGCAGGTCAGGGTGGCCTCTGCCACACCTAGGACCTGACCCCGGCGGAAACCTGTGCAAGCAGCACAGCATCGTCTGGAACCCACCGTACCATAAGAGAACAGGAACCAAGCAGGCCCAGCAGCAGCCCGGCACGACTGTCTGCCCAGCCGAGGTGGGACCCAGCATTGGAACCCTGCCTGGCACCTCAGGGTCTCTCTGTCCTCCAGAACCCAGAGGGACACACACGCTCCCTCTGCCCCTTGTCCCTTTGCACTCAGTGTTCCAGCATGACTGTTTATTGAACTTCGATTTTGTCTTAAATTAGAAGGAAAACTAGGGGCTGTGGCTAAAGCTGGTTGGCACTATCTGTGGCAGATGGAGATCTGAACCCAAGTCTCAGTGACTCTGAGGCCCATGGTCTTTTATTACTCCCTGCTTCCCCTCCCATAGGCTCTCTGTCTGTGTCCCCAGACCTCACAGTTGACATTTTAGCTGCAAGAAACAGGCTAGTCCTTCAGTGATAGAGAGGCTGTCATGATGTCTAGCAGAGTGGGATAAGTCCTGATTTAAGGGAACTTCACTTTGAAAAATGCAAAATTGGCATGAACATTGCCCTATGAAGAATTTCAGCTAGGTCAAGTAGGATAAAGCAGAACCAGTTTGGAGAATGACTTGCCAAATTGTTCTTTCCTCCTGCTTCTTAGCAGATCTTAGCACCAGTTAGCTCACACACAGCGGTTTAACAAGTCGTTTTCTTTGTTCTTACCTCTATGAGAATGAGCCTCTGCAGAAAGGTAAGACACAGGCCTTCTTGCTTGATTAAATATCTTCTCTCTTGACTATCCTGCCTGACAAGGAGGGGCTCCCCAGTCCAGCCACTCCTCCTGACCCAGCCCTCACATCAGCCAGTAGCCATCCCCGTCTTCCTCTCCAGCTCAGTGTCTGTGGAAGGGTGTATCTGGGAAGATCACTCCTGTGTATGCCCATGGCAGATGTTATGTAGCACAAGGCTTGGAACAAAGTGTGGAGGAGGCCAAGTAAGCAGGTGGTGTGCTGTACATTTTACAGGTCATGAGACACCGGAGCACCCAGTGATTAACAGAAATACTTGCCAGACACAGATGCTTTAACACAGTGTCAGTGCCAAGTTAGCCAGATGATTTATAGAACACCCAAACGCTGCAGTTGTATATTATCTTTAAAGGAGAAACTTTTGTTCAGGGTCCAAATGTAGAAATAACTTCAGCTACATAGAGCCAAGGATTTAGCTCAGTGGTTCCAGCGCCTACCTCGCAACCGTAAGATCCCGAGTTCAATCCCTGGTACCAAAAAAAAAAAACAACACACACACTTCAGCTATATGTTGACAGAGCATGTGAGAACCCTGGCAAAAAACACTAACTCAGGACTGCCTCCTGAAATGGGCTTATAACACCACCCTGTGAGAAGCACTCCGCCATGCAGCTGACTGCCTCAAGGGCTGGGGCCATGGGTTCATGAATCTCATATATCAAAGCTGTGACTGCATTGCTGCCAGTGGGCAGCCGGCTGACAGGAGTCCTGGAGTGACTCATCTTTGCTTGGTGGGTGGACAGGAGGCTGCCCAGGTAGAGAAGCAGCTCCTGAGCTTATATGTGGGTGAAGGGTGAGTGCACTACCATCCCTGTCCCCACTGGGGTTCATCTTCTTGGGGTGGGTCCCTGTGTGCGCTTTCTTCTGGATGCCTGAAGAGTGGTCAGCTGTGTTCCACTCTGACCATGGCCAGTCATATGCCTCTTGCATATTGAACTCAGGGGCACACCCAGTGTGGGACTGCATACCACTCAGGGCTGCCTTTTGGTCCCAAGGGCCAGGCTGTGTGGTGGCCTAGGAGTGGCCAGGAGCTGTGGCAGGTGACATCATCATCTCATTAGACCAGTAGCTGAAAATGAACCAGAAATGAAGTCTGTCTCTAGGGATTATCGTGTGGTGGCACTCTGGTCTCTTAATTAGAAAGCCCTGTTGCTATTAATTGCTAATTCTTATCTTATAAAAACTTAAAAGCATTACCACCTACTTCCAGTGGTCAGAGGCTTTCTGCTATACTCTGCTATAGCTGTCCTCTTTGTCCTCCACTCCATCTTCCAAATCCCAGGTGCTTTGAAGACATTTTGTGACTATTCTACATTAAGTATTTCTTTCTAGCTATTCCAAAGGATGATCCCACAGGTCAGTGTAATATTCTTTGTGCATGCCATTCGGGACTCCTATTCTTCCTCCTGTCAGCAAAAAATCCAGGCCTCCTCTCCCCAGTGGGAGTTTGGAGATGGGAAAAATTGTCTCAGGATTTACCCAAATATCAGTCTCATTTTTAGGAATGGATATGTTTTTAGATGAGTTTTAGTCAAGGACACTAGTTTAGACGTGAAAACAATTGCACCACCAGACAAACAGCAATAACTGTAAACATTTTATTTCTGAAACAAAGGTGTGTGCAAGTGTGCTTGTGGCACAGCAGGGGCTGCTCAGCTTGGAAGACTAGCACGAGTTCCTGGGGAGCGGAGGGTACTGGTGGCCCAGAATCACTTGGACATGTGTAGTGTTGTGTGGTCCAGGATGTCTGGCCATGCAGTCCATTTCTAAACTCCCATCCTGACCTATCCTGGCTCCTCACAGAGCACGGAAGACGGGACTGCATGCACTGCCAGAATTCGGTGAGGGAAGTGCTGCTGACTACTCCTACAGCTGGATAAATACTACAAAGAAGTGAGAGTCCTTGCACGATGGCTGGACTTATACACACCGGACCCACCCCTAGAGTCCCATGTGCTGTGATCCCTGTCTTTCCTCATAACAGCAGTGCACAAAGTGCCAGTTACTAGTGTGCAGTGGTTACGGGCTCTACTTGCTTTACTTGTTTTCAGATATTAAATGGCTTTTGTTTGAAATGTCAAACTCTTTGTGCAGTGTGCGTGGGGAAGAGGTGTGGTGTCTTTGTCCCCCATCATGTGAGACTTTTTAAGAACCTGAGATAAACATAGTGACTTTTTCTAGAACAGCTCCCATTTCCCCTGTGGAAGAGCCCCTTGGGTGAGGAGCGGCTTGCTCACTGCGTTGGGGACAGGGAGAAGACGGAAAGGGGCTGGAGGGGAGCCTTCCTCCCTGCCAGGTGCCACTCCACTACTGCTCGTCAGAAGCACTCTGCTGGGAAGCTGTGTCGTCCAGGCCCATGTCCTCTTGGCTCGCTCTTCTGCACATCACCCTCAGGTTCTCTGCCACAGCCTCAGCTAGTCGTCGGTCACGAAGCTGCCCCTGCTCTGCAGCCTCAGTGGGGTCACACGGCTCAGAGAAGTGCTTTCAGGGAACAGGAAGAAGCAGCCATAGTCAGCATACATTCACTGCATAGGTCTTCTAATCCCCCCATCCTGCCATGGGACCCTAGGGCTGGGGTGGCAGTGACCTTGAGGGTAGGCCCTCCAGTTGGTCAAATAACAGGACTTGACTGGGTGGCCTCAGGTTAGGATGGGGCCTCTGAGTGAGGGGCCTTTCTCCTGAGGTCTGGGGTGCATTAGACACAAATGGCCCTGGAGAGGCCATGTGTGTGGCTGGCCCTCACACACTGAGCCCCAACAGGTTTGACACCAGTGGTGGCACCAAAGCCTTGGCATTCTGTTTGACCGTGGTCCTGAGGATTCATTATCCTTGTTAAGGTCAGGGAAGGAGAATTTTCCAGAATCCCAGAAACACCACCACAGACTATGACTTAAACACAGATTAGGGGTGGGGGAAGGGTATTTTGTGTCTTTTTATTGAGGAAATGTAAAACAGTAAGAAGCTTATACGTATAGTTACATAGCTAAACTCAGGTAGGTCAACTACAGTCACCAGCATGCCATTGCTGCAGCTCTGGGCTCTTGGGACATTCTCCATGGGAGGACAACATGGAAGAGAGGAAGGTAACACTGAGGATACCAGGGCTGGTTCCCATTCCCCCAAATAACTGCACCACGACCAGAAGCCATGCCGTGGTGACTGATGCCTATAACTGTGGGAAACACCAGGGAAATCTCCAAATCTGACTGAATTTTTAAATTAACACTGGTTTCCCGCTGTACCACATTATGTAGCAGGCTGCTGGGTGTTCATCGTTCATCTATTTACTTTCTTATGAGGCTCAAGTGGTCATCTAACATCAGTGAGTGTGGCATTCTGGACCAGTAACAGCTTACCTAGTTAAAAGTCCTTAAAACTCTCCTCAAATCTAAATACCCAAATGTCTTAGACATCTCATAGCTCCACAAGTCTGTTGGATGGAATTAGTGATCACTGAACTCCAGTGCTGCTGGATGTCCTTGCCTCTCCCTTAGCCAGAGTGATGCGAACAAGAAGAAAGTAACTGGGCTTCCAAGGCAGACAAGGGGACATTCTCACTAGCCTTGGGCTGATAAGCCTGAGATGCCCAGAGGGGCTTGTGTGCAGGTTTGCCCAGAGCACAGCGAGCAGCTTTCTGTCTAGTTACCTGCATGTCTGGGGGTGGGGGGGCACTGCTGGGGTACGGGGTGGGATTCTAGAGGGAGTGGGTGGGATCCAGGAGGCCAGGCCTAGAGCTAAGCGCTGCCCCACATCCCGCATCCCAAGCTGCCTTACCCGTGTGGCATGGCCTGCGGCCCTGGCTGAGGGGCCCATCACGATGTTGACGCTGCTGGATGACTGTGTGTCACTGGTGTTGCCCCCCTCTGCTGCGGACAGTCCAGAAATAACGAGAGCACTGGAAAAACTCCTCTTGCCAAAGAGGAAGCTGAGGGTAGAGCTCGTGGAGGAGCCCAGGCTGGACCGGATGAGTGCCTCAGCGCGCTCTCGGACACTCAGGTGGCCTGTGGTGGTGCCTGGGGGTGGCTGGGAGTGCAGGGACGTGGTCGAGGTATGCAAGGAGAGCCGGCTGCCTGAGGGCCTCGGGGCCAGCTCATGGACCGACGTGGATGTCTGCAGGAAGGCCTGGCGGCTCTCCACAATGGGGCCCGATGAGCTCAGGACAGGCAGCCTCTGGCTGAGTGCTGAGGGCACCTGGACAGACTGGCTCCTGCCCTTCCTGTGGCCTGTGAAGGGAAGCAGAGCACCTGGTTGTCCATGTCCTGCTGAGGCAAGAAGTGCCACTAAGGACATGGAGGTTCATTCCTTCAGAGGGTGAGGACAGGGGCCAAACATGGGTGGATGAGAAGGCTGGCCCTGGGGTCTTGCGACACAGCGGGGTGACCACAGTCAGAATTTCATGATACATTTCAAATAATTTCATGATAATTTCCAATAAGGAGATGAAAGAGTCTGAAAGTTCCCTGCACAAAATGTTAAAGAGGTGTGATCAAATATACAGTGAAACTTAAAAAAATTATTACAAGCAGGTGTGGTGGCGCATGCCTGTAATCCCAACAAGACCTGCATTAAACCATCATCCAGTGCCCCATAAATATGTGCCAATTGTATAATAAAAACCCATTTTAAATCTGAGGAAAACACAGCCTGTGACTGTGGCAGGTGGCTAAGAATGCTGGTGTCTGTGTGGTGTCATGGACACCTGCTGAGCCTGGGTCACAGGAACCCACAGAGATTAAGACAAGGAACTCAAGGTTAGGATGAGGGCTGGGAGGCCAGTGTGTGACCTGGCTGCACTCCCACGAGCCTGCCAGCCCAGGTACCCAGCAGCCTCAGGATGGGGTGGGGGGGAGCTGCAACCAGCTGCAACCTTAACTCGGATGATACCAGCAACCTATTTGGCCATGTGGAATAATTCTGGATTTGTTCTTGTCCCAAGACTTAGGTTCCTGTGCTTATCCGATAAATGGTAATAAAGGAAAACATGCAGAGTTCAATCATTTTTAGAAGACTTGAAAAGGGAAAAGAGGATGGTTTGGACCATGTGCTCTCTAGAAGTTTCCTCTTGAGATCATGGTCTTTTGGGTGACATCCACATCACCACCATGCCCAGCCTTCCTTTAAAACAGTCTTGCCTGGTGTGGCCCAGCTGCCTTGGCCGACTGTCCCTCCCTGAGGCCCCTGTAGGTCCCAGTCCCTGCTGAGTCCTGTGCAGAAAGGCCATTTTTGACAATAGGATCAGACTGCCCCAGAGATGTGGTTCTATCCATGCCTCTGGAAGAACTCAAAGTGGGCCTCTGCTTAGGCTCTTCCAGTGGCCTCAGGACACAGCTTCATAAAGGGAGCAGCTAGAAGGAAGACAAGCCTCACTAGGACATTGCACTGCTCACTTAAGCATCAAGAACCCCTAAGCTCTACTTCTGTTCTAGCTGGTGAGGTGCAGCTCCACCAATGGCCTCATGGCCTACCTCCTGAAGCTGTGACAGTTGGGTGTCATTCACTGCAAAGAGGTGGGCTGAGGAGTGGCTCCCAGACACATTGTCTCCTGTTCTACGCCACCCCAGATGCCATTATTAATTGTGCATGTGATGATTCTCAATATTTGTGCATGTCCATAGGAGACCCAAAAGTGAGACATCATTTGAGAGAACTGCTTAGGGAACAGACATGACTATGGAATGTCCAGGGTCTCTCCAGCCTGTACCTCCAGGGGGCTTTCTTTCTGAAAGGGTCTTGCTCAGCCCCAGTGCTGCAAAGTCCCTGCTGAGAAGGTGGGGTGTTTCTCTTTTAGAAGAAAACAACAGGACGAAAAAGACTCCAACAAATTAAGAGTTAAGAGCAAGGATCATGATTTGTTAGTTTATTCAGAGTAAGACAAGCCCAAGCATCTGTTTGTGATTTACACTGTGAAGCTGATCAGTGCTGCACAGTGCTCACTGGGCGGGGAACATCCCCACTACTTCTAGGAACAAAGGGACAAAGCCACCATGGGTAGCAAATAGAGTAATGCACAAGGACCCTCCCCCATTTCATTGCTTCAGATGATGCTTTTTTAAAAAAAACAAAAACAAAACTTAATTTTGCAAATGAAACAGCGCCACGTAAGCAAACCACTCTAAAACCATTTGTGCTACCCAGGATCATTATTTTACGATTTAACTTATTTTGCCAATTACTGTATTACCAGATTATGAGTGTTTCTAGGGAACACTAAGGGGACATAGAGTATGAATTACCCTCCTCTGGGCATCATCCTTCATCTCTGATCGTTATCTGAGCGGCTGCAGAGCAAATCTTGGGCAATCCAAGGACCCAGCCTTCCTCTCCAGTGGGGGATTAGACTGCGATGGCTTTCCCAGTGCTCCCAGGAAGTAGGTCACAGGCCTTGTGCTCTGCCCACCCTCCTCCAGCTGTGATACATATTCTGCACCTCAGCAAGAGGGTGGTGGCTGGTCAGGCTCCAGTGAGGTTTGCACATATGTGCCTGCCAGCAGGGCTTGGAGTGCTGGGCAGAGACACAGCATGGTGGCCTGGGGAGAGGGGTGCTACTCAGGGGAACTTGTTGGGAAGGAACTGGTCCTCTGAGCATCTGGCAAGGTCTCAGGATTAGGACGCATGTTGGTAATGGAGGCAAGAGTAAGGAAGGGCAGTTGGGTCCGTAGGTACAGGCAAGCCTTGGTCACTGTGAGAGGAACAAGACCCTGTGAGAACTGGCTGTAGTTCATCCTTCAGAATTGCCCGCTCACTTCCATCCATCCTGTCCTTCCCACAGAGGCAGGTCCCAGCCTGTGAGGCCCTGGGCCTGCCTCTTATGGCACTTAGCATACTGTGTCATGACCAATACAAGGTCCACTCTGCCATTTGCCTCGATCTTTTGAAACAAATGACTACTGCATTGTTTCTGTTACCTCACACTCACCACCAATGACCCCAAAAATAAATTACAGGACAGAGCAACCTGTAAATTCACCTGGCACAGAAACCCTGCGGCGGGATCCAAGAGACCTCCCCAGAGTCTGCGGTGGATTCAGGGCTTCCTAACCTTAGCCATTAGCACCATTTGTGAAGATTAAAAAGCACTGCGCCTTAGAGGGTGAGACCCCTGGGTGTCACCCACAGGCAGGCCACAGTGACAAAGGTAATTCCTCCACTGCTCCAGGTCAGGTATCGAGAGGTGGGCTCAGGAATATCCCCCTAATGGAGCACAACCCCTGTGCCCCACACTGGCTTCCTCTCTGGAAGCTGCTTGGCCCAACTTAGATGGGCAGGGAAGTTTGGAGAAGGGCAGAAGCCAGAGAAACCCATAGCTGAAATAAAGTCCACTGTCTTCCTAGCACTGTGAGGTGTCCCTTTGGAGGTGATGGTTTACTGGGAATGGCAGGCAGATGACTTCCTCGAAGTGTCCCAGGCACTCACAGGGATGCCAGGTGGCTGCCGCTCCTCCTTGTGGTGGCCTTATCTCAGGGCCTGCTCTTCTTGGGATCCCAGGGGCTTCCTGCACATAAGCCCTCAAGGCAGAACCTCAGGTGGAGGGAAACTGTGTCCCTGCACCTGGAAACCCCCTCAGTGCCCACACTAGGACTGGAATCCAGTTGGTTTAATGGTCTGGCAAGGTGGCTGCCCTGCCAGGCACACCTGCTCTATGGGCCTTCTGGAGACAGCCTGGGTGTGCTGGGTGGAAAGGGCCTGCAGGGAGGGAGGCTTTGGTCCCCTCTCCCCAGGGTCGGTGTGGCCAGAGCCCTATCACCAAGCTTCACCAGATGCTCAGTCCTTGGTTCCCTGGAGAATCACCTCAATCCAAGTCAGGCCTTGGTGGGACTTTAGCTCCCAGGACAAAATGGTAACTTCAGGAAAGCTACCAGGATCAGCATTTCTAGCTCTGATGATAGAGTCTGATGGCCAGAAGCCCCATGAAGGAACTCTGGGCCCTGAGGCCTGCTGCCTGCCAGTTGGGACACCGTGGTACAAGCAGCCAAAGCTAGAGGGGGACTGTCCACTCATCCAGTCACCCAGAATCTGCTGAGCTCAGGACCAGCCTTGCCTGAGTGGCCATTCACAAAGACAGGAAACTGGGAACAGGGGTTTGTATTCTGCTCCCACACATTGCTACTAGGACACATGCAAAGTCTGGGAACTCCAGAGTTCACTGCTGCCCTCTGGGCATGCACAAGCCTGGCCTTCCTGCAATGCCAGCACCCCTCCTGGTACAGGATGCAGGGACAGTGGGGAAGAGAGTGGTCCCCATGTACATCCCATCCTGGGCTCCAGTGAGTGCCCATTGTCCTGTGTGTGGGGCAACTCACAGTCACAGTTTCCCCTTGTGAATTTTTTTTTTCAATACTAAGGATTGAACCCAGGACCTTTCCACTGAGCTACATCTCCAACCATTTTTCATTTTGAGTCAGGGTCTCACTATGTCTCCCAGGCTGGGTTTGAATGCTCGTCCTGCTACCTCAGCCTCCCAGAGAGTTGGGATTACAATCATGTGCCACCACGCCCAGCTATTGTGGGAGAATTCTGACCACAGACAGCAGACCTGGTCATCAGTAGTTAGGGGAAGAGTGAGGAAGAGGCAGGGCAGGAGCATGGGCAGGGCATTCGCCATGCTTGGCTGGCAGGCCTCTGGGTAAGGTGGCCTTTGATAGAAGCCTGCGTAGGTGACTGGAGGAGACAGTCACCTTGATGGTTTAATGATCTGGAGAGGTGGCTGCCCTGGGAGAAGTGCATTTAAGGCAAGGATGGCAGCAGCCGCAGGGGCCCTGAGGGTGTGGCACTGTGCACCTAAGCACACAGCAGAAAAAGGCTGAGTGCAGAAGTCAGAGACAGTGGCAGGGAGAGGCCTGCGACCAGCTGTGGGCATGGGTGTTGGGACAGGCTGAAGTGTGTCCCTCCAAACTCATGATGACTTCCTAACCCCAGCACCTCACTTAGAAACAGGGTCATTGTGAGACCCTTAGGGTCCAGCACAGCGAGTCAGTGGTGGGACAGAATAAGCCTCTGGGTGCAGCAAACTATTATCCTTTGTAGCATGGCATGTTTCAAGAGGCCCATCATGAGACCCTAGTAAAATCACAGAAGCAGAATCTTTGCATGAAATGAGAAATTCTTACCAAGGATGAAAATAAATAAGCCCTCTAGCTTCACTTGCTCTTAGTCAACTTAAAATCACTAATTTTGGAGGTCACACAGCTGGGCAATGCATCATTAGTTTCTCCCTAGCATTGGTGTGGACAGGACGTCTGATGCAGGGGTTATGATAACAGTTGTCTGGGTTAATTCCCGGAAACCTGAAAGCTGCTTGCTGAGAAAACTGACTCCTTATTTTGGCTTGCAGAGACTTAATGGGAGTCTAAAATGGGATAAAGGCTTGGTGTCTCTGTCTTAATATTGTATCTGTCCCTTTTGTTGTCATAACCCTTGGATCAAATCCTACTCAGCTCTGCATGTAGACATATTGAACATTTAAAAATGTTTAGACTAAAACTATAAGACAGGGTTGACTTGGCCTACTGCCTGCTGGAGTTGGTGTGCATTTTCTTTTCTCTCTCTTTTCTACACTACCCCAGTGCTTCTTCAGCAGCCACTAAAGCCCAAGCCCTGAAGTTCTTCAGCCCCATTGTAGAGCCCAGACCCACAGCCACAAGGCCAGGATGTTCTCTGCAGGATGATGGCTCCAGCTACATGAAAATTCAACAGCCTCTAGGATGAGTTGACCATGACCATCCAGTGTCCAAGTCCATCAGGAGATGAAGTGTCTTTTGGAACCATCCCCTTGGCCAATGGGAATGAGTGGACAGCCTGCTGCTCTCTTTGTTTTGGTAACAGCTTGATCACTCTCTTGACCAATTGCTGACTCCCTTCAGTCAAGACCTCAATTGGCTGAACCCCCTTACCCCCTGTACCTGCTATCCATAAAGCTTTGCCAGTTTAGGAATGCTCGTGTTTGCAGTATTTGGCCCAGTCTCTTCTATCATATCTGGGTCAAGAGGTCTCATCATCTGGTATCAGTCATTGATGGAGTGGTTAAGATGAGGTGGGGCTCTAGTCCAACATGACCAGTGCACTTTTAGAAAGGGGTCATTTGGACATAGACTTGCACACAGGGAGAACAATGCTGTGTAAGGATGAAGGAGGAGGTCAGGGTGGTGCTTCTACAACCACAGAATACAAAGTCAGCCAGCAATTCCAGAAGCCAGGGAGACACTTGGGACAGACTCTCCCTCATGTCCACAGGAGGAACCAACTCTTGACTCTGGACTTTCACCCTACAGACTGTGGGACAAGAAGATTCTGTTTTTCAAGCCATTTGGGCTGTGGGACTTGTCACTTAACCTGGTGTATTCAGAGTAACAGGTGTCATTCAACACAAGATAGGAGGAAGTGACATAAGTGAAAATAAAATCACCCTGGCTGCTGTGTAAAGGGGAGATTATGACCGTGTGAGTTGTCAGAGCTCCCCAGAAGGCAGGGAGAGTGAGACTGAGCAGATCTTCCTGTCTTAGAGGTCAGGGGGGCACAGCCATCCTGATTCCACCCTATCCCTGCAGCCCTCTGAACCTCCACTGGGCACTTGCCAAGGGTAGCCTGCCTGGCTGCAGTGACTTCCTCCTCAGGCATGGCCGTGCCCTGAGCCAGAGTGGGTGCCAGGCTTCTCCAGGCAGGCAGGCCACCCCACATCTGTTCCCTCCCTGCCCATAGTGAGGAAAGGGAACCCTGGCTGGCTGCCTCAGAAGGACCAGAGCATTGGCTCTGCCTGCTCATGGGACCAGAAGGAAGATCCCTAGTAAGTAGGGACCTTGCCAGCCAGGGGACAGGACAAAGTCATGGCAGCAAGGACAGTACCAGAGGCACAGATGGAGTGCTAGAAGTGAGCATGCAGGGATGGGACAAGGTGGCGGCATCCAGGGCCAGCACCACAGCAGTGCATGGTGGTTAGGATGGTGTCTGGTGCAAATCCTAGATCAGCTGCTGATCAGCTAGGCACCTTACGGCAGTGACTGACCTTCCCTGTGCTCAGTTTCTCCCTGTGCAAGGAAAGGACAGTGAACGCTCTTGGTGTCCCGTAGGCTTGGGGGAACCTGCCCATGTACTTTCCTCAGTGTGCCGGCCCCAAAGAGCACACCCAGAACTGACACCAGAGTTGAGCAGTCACTGCATGTCAGGGCACAGGGCGAGAAGGCAGCCTGTGCCAGGCTTCCTGACCCTCAACCTACAGTAGCAGTCTCAGGACTGGGGCAAACATGAGCTGCAGTGGGGCCAGTGGGCCAAGGCCAGGAGCCTGGGTGGGGAGTGTCACCAGCATGCCCTAAACTTTACACTGTGGACAGCCAAGTGGCCTTGGAGGAGCAGTTCTAAGAAGCAATAATGACGCACTAACAGCTGGTTTAGGCTTTCAAAGGTCCTGCCCTGACAGCCACCCCAAAGGGCTCAGAGGGCTCCAGTGAGCTGGAGGTGCCCACTGTCATGACCGGCTCTGGGCAGAGGGTGCAAGGCTTTTCCAGGCGGGCGGCTGCAGCTTGCTCCGTTCCCAGAGGAAGTAGCCCATCCACATGCCCTCTCACCACACTGCAGACCCTGGCCTTGCCAGGCTGACTGCGGCACAGGCTCAGGCTTCTCACCACAGGACCACCTTGCACTTCCCATCCGGAAAGTTGCCTACTCAACCCTAAGATTTGTTTCTCCTGCGATAACAAATGTTATGGAAGCAATAAGACCCTTCCATCCTGAGAGCCAGGTGCAGCATGGTGGCCTTGGGATGAGGAACTGGGCTCAGGGAAGACAGCAGGTGGAAGAGGAAGGGGTCTGTTTCTCTTGACAGTAGACGTTAGCTCCTCTGCCCATCTACCGGTCTACTTACCCACTCTTCTGTCTTCTGTCAATCATCTGTCTATGTATCATTTCTCTGCCATCGATTTCTCCTTTATTAGTCACCTGCTATCTGTCATCTACATCCCTCTCTATCACCTATCTGTGCATCTGTCATCTCCATCTCTGTCTTCTATTATCTATGTATCATCTACCCATTATCTAGGGTTTATTAATCATCTATTCATTACCATCTATCTCCGTATCTCTGTCAATCATCTATATATCTATCCCATCTATCATCTATGATCTTTACCCATCAACCTGTCACTATATATCATCTACCACATCTATTATCTCTATCTATGCTTCTAGCTCCTGTATCTGTTCCATCTGTCTAACTATCCATCTATCATCTACCCATCACCCATCTCCATTTTTCTATCAATTGTCCATCATTCTATCATCTGTGTATCTCATCTGCCTGCTATCTGTCATTTATCATCTATACATTTATCATCTACCCATCATCCATCTCCATTTCTCTATCAATTATCTATCTATCTATCATCTACCTCTGTCTACCTATCAATGATCTCTATCATCTATCACCTATATCTACCTTTCTATATCCTATATCTGTCTCTCATCTACTCATCATTCCTATCATCTATCTGTATTCTACCTATCGCATGTAGCAGATCTATCTGTGATAAGTACTATCACCTGAATCCATCCATCCACCCATCCATCCATCCATCCATCCATCCTGCCTGTATTTATATAATCCTACCACTGCACCTCAACCCTCTGCCTTACCTGGGCACTTCTCTCCGGGCTCACTCGGTGCAGGGCTCAAAGGAAGGCATGTACAGAGGTACTTAGTAAATACTTCTCAAAATGAGGAAGGAAGAACTGAGGCCAAACAATGAAACCACTAACAGGCTTCGAAGGCAGAACCAAGGAATCAGCAAAGAGCATCTGCCTCCCTGGTCCCCAGGCCATGTTCTCTGCAAACATCCCAGCACCCCCTCCCACGTGCACATCAACACCAGTGGATGTCAGAACCCTGTCCATCTGGCTCAGCTTGACTTTCCTATTTGAAGGTAATTTAAACAGGATTTTTAACTTTAGACTCAGCCTGATTTGGTCCTGGGCACCTGAGATGTTGCCACCGGAGGTGACCTTCCATCCCTCTTCCCTTGCCCGCTGGAATGGTGCTGGCAAGTGGAGGGGCAAGGACCAGGGAGAGCAATGGGTGCAGTGGCCTGTCTGTGCAGGAGGAGGCAGAGTACATGAGGGATACCCGTGAGAGAGATGAGCGGGGATGGATGAATGGCTGCCCAAGATGATGGACAGACTGACAGACAAATGATCAAATCCAGACCTCACAGGGGCAGAGGATTTTCTTGAGCAGAGCTCTACAGGGGTTAGTCCTTTCGGACGGCCATTGGCCAGGGGCGACTCTTACTGCAGGAGGAGCTGTTGGCACGAGAACGATGACTTACCCACAGCATGGAGGCCAAGGCCCTGCGCTGCAGCACTCACCTGTCCTCTGAGCACCTTTGCACGGGGAGACCCAGGGCTGGGTGCCACCTTTCTGGGGCTGCTCCAAGCTGCTGTCCCCACTTGGGGCCCCACCCCCATCCAGGTCCTCAATGGCGCCTCCACTCCTCTGCCCAGTGTTGCAGTCCTTGCGCATGCTGTGAGAGAAGACAACTTTCAGGGCTCAGCCATTCAGCCACAGGATCACAGCCAACACAAGGTCCGCGAGACTAGGTCACCCAGGGATAATGCAGCTGTCTTGGTCTTTGTTAAGTTGTGTTTGCTTACTGATGCTTGCACAGTGAGGAAATCACCTCATGATTTGCAGAAGGCATCCCTGCTGCTACGCAACAGGGGACTGTCCCCTGAGTCTCTCACAGCTGTGTCTGAGTTGGACAGAAGACCATGCTCTCCAGGTGAGCAGCACCCTGGGTGCATGTGGGAAGGGGATGCTTGTTTCTTAAGCCCCAGTGTCTAATAAGTGAACAGACACACCAGGGGGAAAGAGCCCCAGGAGAACTCATGGCCTTGATACCTGGTCAGGTGCACAGCCACATTGAGAGGCAAAGCTTAGTCACCGGAAACCACAGGCTCACTGCTGCACCAGTGAGACCCTTAATGAATGAGGTGGTGTGGGGAACTCAGGCCTGGTACAGGTAGATCTAGTGCAAGTACAGGTAGATCTCAGTCTGAGAGGCCCAGGAGGTGACTCCTTGTATAAACTAACTGCTCTTACCTCGCTTGGAGACCACTTGTTGGACAAATGACCAGTTAGATGCCACTTGGATGTGGTTGCGTTCAATGACACAACAGTGACAGGCAGTGTTATGGCTTGTGTCTAGATGTCCCCCAAAGCCTCATGCAGTCATAGGTGGGGTTTTTTCAAAGGTGGCTGGATCTAGAGTGTGTGACACTGGGATTGATTCATGGTGCAATGCTAGGCTCAAGGTAACTAGGATTAAAGGTGTGAATGCTGCCCACCCTAAGTAGCCTGGATATGATAAAAGGGGCAGAAAGATGCTGTTAAGGTCCCTTGTTGCTTTTGTTACCTTGTGGGCCCCATGAACTGTTCTCTGCGATGCCCCTCTGCCAAGCCCCCCTGCCTTGGAGCCTGCCGATTATGGACTGAAACCTCTACAAACTGTGAGCTAAATAAACCTTTCCCCCTTTAACTTGGAGTGTCGGGTATTTTGTCTCAGCAATGAGAGAAAAGTAACCAACACAGGCAGTGACATTCCAAACAGATCTCGAGAGCTCTGCATGCCCCCCCCACAGCATGCAGGTGCAAAGCTTCGTGGCGCACTCCTACCTCAGCCACCTGGCTTGGAACCATGTCCTCAGGCTGTCCAGCATGACAGGCCTGCCCCACACGTTCCTCAGCTGCCGGTGGGTCCCCAGGTAGGACGTGGTTAGCGGGGAGACATACATGGGGTAGCCCAGGGGCTGGTCACAGGAGGAGTTGATCAGGTTTCGCAGGACCTGCTTATTGTTCTGAATGCTGCCGCGCTCTGGGTTGCGGTTGCGGAGGAAGATGAGCTCCTGCTGCTGCCCAGCCCAGAGTCCTCGCACACACTCTTTGTTCACCTGCAGGAACGGGGAGAAGTGCATGGCCTGTTACTAACCACAACCAGTGAGGGGCCTCTGGGATCTGAGGTCTGTGACTGTACCACTGAGCCAAACGTTCTTGTCACAGTCAGTCCTACAAAACTGAGATGATGCTACTTTCATGGGGAAACTGGAAATGGAAAGATTTTGTTTTAGCCTCGTGGTTCAAAGCTATAATGAAAAAAGCACCATAGGGAATAAGGCTCTTCGATGGAAAAGCAGAAAAAGGAGCCAGATCCTGGCCCTCATCCACATCCTCATCCTGTGCCTGCTGAGATGTTCAGCCCAAGTCCTTGACCTCCAAGGTAGAGAGACGGCCCTTCAGGGGACTGTGGCACCCAGGCTGCTGGCTGGTCTCTGGTTCTGGCTGCTGCTGCTTCTCTGGGCAGCCCCTTTGACCTGAGGCTGTTGGCCCAGGGACATGCGCATTGGTGCCAACCACCTTCTATTTCTTCCCGGTGGTCCCCAGCCAGGGCCTTGGATCAGGGACGGGGGATAGCGCCGTGGCCATACCTTGATCACCTTGAAGCTCAGGAAGCCCCTGTGAAGCATGATGACCTTGTACTCATCAGTGCCCTCGTCCACCACATGGCGCAGGGTCAGCAACTCCTCCCTGTTGGATAGCACAGCGCCCCGCCAGGCTGGGTCGGCCTCATGGCAGATCACCACTTTCTGCTCAAAAGACTGGATGGCCCCATAGAGGACTGCAGGGTCTTCATATTCATCAGGGCACGTGAACTGGTCCTAGGGGAAGTCAGGTGGGCAAATGCAGGGATGGTGACCAATAGTAACCTCCAAGGCCACATTCTCCCCTGTCTTTCTCCCTCTCCGCTCGTTTTCTGAATCTTGAGTGGGGTGCAGGGGATGGGTCTCCTCTAATGACCCTCACAGTAGAGAATGCCCAGGGAAGAGCTTTGTGGCTATGGCCCTATGACTTATTAGACATTGGTTGGGCACTCTGAAGTGCCATTGTCTCTGGCCAATCATCTCCTTCCTTCCCAGAGGGTGTCACCTCCCCCCAGCAGCTCCTGAGGGGAAACTGCCATTGGCCAACATCTAGACTTTCCAATGGCCTCAAATTACCAAATGACCAAAATAATGAACATTCCCAGTGTTGTGCAGAGAAAGGGAACTATGCATTCGCAAGGCTATTTTTTCCCTCAAGTTTCAGGCTGAGACATTGTCACAAAGTGGGATTTTTACCTGGTGCAGTTTCAGGGACATCCTGATGGCTGGAACAACAACTTTATGCAACAGGTCCATGTCGGCAAACACCCACTCATCCCGCACTGTGATCCTGAAGTCACCTTTGAACAGCGCATGGAGGCCATAGAGGAAGGAGTCCAGGCTGCAAGACATGGGCTTATCACTGCCATCACACTGTGCACAAGGCGGGACCCCACCATCTGGCTAGGGCATGAGTCTCCCAATATAAGGTTTATCTTAAGATTTTTAAGTTGATTCAGCAGGAAAGAACCCAACCTAGAACACCAAATGCCTAGCCCTGCAGCCAGGTTTAGGGTCCCTGACCAGTGCTGATGCTGGAGCATGAGGCCACCTCTTGTCACTTTAGGAGACACCAAAATGATTTCTGAGGGCAAAATTCAAGGCTCATTTTGGGATAGACCAAATGTGTGTGTGTTCAGCGTGTGTTGAAGACAGCAGGCTCATCTCTCCTAAGACTCCTGCTGGTCCCCATTTCTCAGGAGGTGACAATGCCAACGGTGCTACCACCCAACACCCATATTTCTCTTCTTTATTTTCTGAATTTGATTTCTGGGCTGTATCATCTGTAATAAAAACTGGATTGTAGCATAACACGGAGAGAGAAAACAAAACAAAATAAAATGAAACTGGAAACTGGCCATTTAGATCCTTACAGCACCTCTGTTTCTGGTGTCACCCTGATTTCGAGGAGAGGAGGCAGAGTACAGAGGGAATGATAGCTAGCTCAGGATTCCAGGGCTGGCTGGTTTTCATGTCTCCAGACTGTTCTTGCTTTTTGCAGTCCCTGCCTTACTCATCATCACTGAGCAGCGCTCGGGGCTGGAGGATCTTAAGTATGGGGTGAGCATGGGGATAGGTTTGATAAAGTGATCCATTGTGCATCCTGAGATCAGGATTACTGTGCTCTCTTGCAGAAGGAGCAGCACCCTGAGCAAGCTGACCTTGACAGGGGGAGTAGGGTGAGTGTGGAGGAAGGAATCACCCAGGGCAGCTGCTCCAGAATTTAATAAGGCAGTTCATTGAGCAGGACTTTGGATTCAGTGAAGTGCTTTAGACTTGGACATCAGGGAAAGGGCTCTGCGGATTGCTGTTTTAACATTTCCCCATGAAATGTATCGCTATCATTAATTTCCTGCTGGAGCTCCCTTGAGAAAAGTGCTGAGGCTTTGCGCCAGAGCAGACTGTGGGAAACAGGAGCAGCCAGGGGCTGGTCAGGTGGGGCTAGTGATGCTGTGGCTTGGAGGAGCAGGGAGTTTTCCAGAGAGAGAAAGATCCTTCTTCAAAAAAGCCCTCCTCCCTGAAAGAACCAAAGCTTCCTGGGCCATGAGCTGCAGCCAGCTGCCTGGGAGGCACTGGAGGATGGCAGAGTCATAGAACAGCAGAGCTGGGCTGCAGGAAGGCTGATGTGAGAGCAGAGGCCTTGAAATATGAATGATGCCTGCCATCTGCCTTCAGCTGAAATATGTGAAGGCGCTCCTGTCATCAGAGAGGACTGAGCACTGAACCGCAGGACCATGTTGGACAGTTGGTGGCTTCATTCAGAAAAGGATCCGGGACACCATGCTGTGTGCTGAGAATGACCTCACACATGGGTCAGAGAAAATCTCCCTCCAGATGTGGGGATGAGGACAGTGCAAAGGAAGATCCAGGGACCTGCTCAGATGTGCCAAGCAACGCCACAAAGGAGACCAATGAGTTGCAGCTTGGCCTGTGGTGGACTCAGCAGCAACTGCAGAGAAGCTATCAAGGGTTTACTAGGCACAGAGGACATTCAGCAGCTTCCCCAAGAGCTCAGTAAGATGCCGAGCCTCCTTTCTATGGCCCCCAACAATACATACTGCAGTGTCCCTTTTCTTCCAGAGGGAATGACAGACACATTCAGCGCTTAACGCTGTCCTATGAAAATGGTTTTCACATAAACCAAAGCCAGGGTTAGAATTCCACTAGGTTGGAGGTATTAACCCTAGCACCTTACAGATCATGGGGTCCTAAAAGGAAGGTGTTTCATTACCTGCCTTTTTCCCTTGGGAGAAGGAAGGGAAGAAGGCAGCCAAAGGGCTATGAAAAGTAGGGCAGGCAGGAGGCAGAGTGAGCGGAGGTGAAGTGGAGCTTTTCCACTGAGAAGCTGAGAGAAGACAGCCCCCTACCCCAACTGTCAAGGATGGAAGAGAGTGGCACATGAGTAAACAGAGGTCAGCCTTCATGGGGACTGAACAGCCGCCCTGTTGCCCCACTGGAGGAGGGAGTGAAGCTGTTGACCTGCCTTACAGGGACTGGACTCACACCATGTGTGCGCTAAGTAGTGTGACAAAATCAAAACAGCACTGGTGGTTTTTTGTGTCTTTTTTTTTTAGATGAAAAAGCTGGTAGGTGTTGCTTACCACATAACTGATCCAGAACAGATCCTGACTTCTCTTTTTGTTTCCTGGGCTGATGTGAGGCAGGGTGGCCAGTGGAAACGCCGTTCCCGCCACCTTCCTGAAAACAAGTTCCCTGCCTGGAGGCTAAGAGCTGCTCACCCAGTATCCCCGCCCATGTTTCATGGCAAAGATTTTTTAGAGCTACTCCATGAAGCAGAGGCTGCCTCCACATTCTTGTTTTTCAGTTTTCATTATCCGCAGAGGAATTCTCATAGCTCTGCTCCAGCCAGAGGGTGATAAGTTATCTCTGAGCCCCAATTTGGCTCAATCACCAGCCAGCTCAGCCTAGTCACCACCTGTACCTTCTTTTAAGGTGGTTCTCAACTGGTAGCGATTTTGGACCCCAGGGAGCATTTGGCAATGCCTGTGACATTTTTGGTGTCACAACTGATGCATGTGATATGCCTGATACTCAGTGGTTAGAGCCCAGGATGTTTCTATAACAGAGAAGACAGGCCCACCACAAAGACCTTGCAGTCCCAAGTGTCAATCATGCCCCTGCTGCAGAGCTCTGTTCCTCTGGGAAAGAAGGGACTGGAGAGTGAGTTCACATCTGGGATCACTGTCTAGGATCAGGCCCTATCACACTGGGTCTTGGGGAAAACAGCTTTGGCACCAGGAGAGTTTCTGCAGGACTCACAGGGGCCTCCCTACTACAGTGACTGACTTGTCATTCTGGTGAATTCCCAACAGACCCCATGTACCACATGTCTGTACACTGCATCTCAAAGAGCCTTCTGCCATAGTGCGCTGCCACAGATGTGATGCTTGTGGAACACATGCTAACAGTCAGGTGTGCTTTGTGCCTGAGCCTCCTGAGTTTATTCAACAGTAATGGGGACACAGATGGCTACCGGCTACCTACATCACCAGCCCAGGCACAGACAGCGGCCCCATGTGGGCACCGCAGCAAGCTCTCCCTGTGCGCCTTGTTCCTCTCTGGGGGCCCCAACCTCCATGCCCTGGCACAATGGCCACTTCTATGTCTTTTGACCCCACTGCCACAACTCCTCAAACAAAACAAAGGTCCAGATGACCACCAGCCCCTCTGAGTGACCAAAAGTGAGGCAGAGGGAGAATAAGGCCTCTCATTTTCCTGTTCTGTGGAGTCCACTTCACTGACTCCTCCCATCTCACAGATCCTCCGCAAGATATACTATTATTATATTATTTTCTCCATACATGAAGAAATAGGCCAGAAAAAATTTGAGAAAAAAGTGGATCTGATGGGAGAAAACAATACTCAGAATTTTACATTACAAGGAAGAAGCTCGGGAGCCATTTTCCTGAAGTGGCTCCTTTCAGCAGTGGATCCGTCAAGGCTGCAGAGCACCTGCCGCAGTGAAGTGCCGGGACCTCTCCCTCACACACACCACCACCTCAGGTCAGCCTCCAGCAATGACCTCATGTTTAAAGCAGTGGATGCACTGCGCGCCTCCCCTGCCTGGACAGATGTCAACACTGCTTTTGTGTTTTTTCCACAGGAATGTGGCTCCCACGCCAAGACACCACACTGCATCCTGATTCTCTCCTTCCCAATGAAGAATACTCTGGGAGAAGCCCTGGCATCCCTCACGTAACTCCATTGCACCTGGGTTCCTTCAGAGGAGGTACCACACTGGGAGGCAGAGTATGCCCCAGAAGAGTAGAGGGATCCCAACCCCAGCTTGGTTCTGACACTGATCTCCTGTTCTTTTATCACATATTCCTCTCCATGTTCAACACATCCAAGAGTATTGAAAGGCTTGGTGCAGTCCCGCAAAGAACTTCTGCTTGAGGGGACTGAGTGCAGAAATGTGGTTTGAGAACACTGGTGTGGGCAAGGGGTGGTGGCAATTCTGAATACATCCAGCATCTGACATTCATCTTGTTCTGTGCTTGCATCCTGAGAGACACTGCAGATGTGCCTGAGTGACCTGGGCACTGAAGGTGCATAGTGATAACCACTCCCATAGGAAAAGTGCCAGGCCAGCAGGGAAATGTAAAGTGCCACTCCAGAGGGCGAAGTGTCCCTGAGTTTAGGCCACACTGGGCTGCAGACAGCAGGCACCCTTAGCAGCTTTTGTTAGCACAAGTCAGCACAGAACACAGCAACAAGCAAGGATAGGTAGCAGGTAGGGTAGAGTGGACACCCTGTAGGACCCATGAGAGACAGACCCACACAGAGCAAGAGGAGGGAACTTGGATGGAGTCAACTGCTGCGAGCCATGTACACCCATGCAATGTGGAGAGACAGGGCTGGGGACTGAGTAGATGGCATGCCCTGCACAGATGGCTTCTCTGCAGAGGCTCCAGCTGCAACATCAGACCAATAACAAACAGCATCTACCTTGTCATCCCTTGTGGCCTGAGAGAGGAAGAATGCCCCAACTCACATTAGCACTCACATTAGCACTCTGCTCAGTACCTAGTGAGTACCTGGTAAATGCTTACTGCTATTGTTTTTCTTGTTTTCATCTAGCCATCATCAGGGCTAGATAGGCTCTGAATATAAACTAACCACATCTGTACTACAGAATCTCATATAATCATTGCAAAGAAATCATGTTGGTCAAAGCATTTTGGTGGTATTCTTTCAACTAAATTCAATGTGAAATAATAATCACCAAGTAAGAAATAGCTAAAATGCAAGATCTGATGAAGATCTTGTTTTTTAAAATATATTTGGCCTTTTGACATAACACCCAAGCATTTCTGCACTTAGAGGCTCCATATCAAGAGGATCAATGCTGCCATCTACTGCAAAATGCTTCCTTAAGGCCAGTGAGGACCAGGGCTGGGCTGGTTTCAGGAGAATCAGTCACTTGTCAGCTTGTTCTAACCAGTCTTGCTTCACCAGATTTCTAGACCCAAGATCCAGAGGCTCTCTGTTGGTGGTTTGTGACAAGGCTCGGGGTCTATGGTCTGATCAAGAGTCTCAGTAGTTCTGAGGACACAGGAAAGCCCAGGTGTCCCCCCCTAGAGATCTGGCCCATGGAGTGAAGGCATTAGAACATAAGGTCCCATGAAGCTGCTCCTCTTTTATGTTACTTTTCTTTTTTTTTTTTTTTTGCAGTTCTGGGGATGGAACCCAGGGCCTCACATGTGCTACATCCCATGTCTTATTCCCTCCCCCCTATTTTTAAACTCAGAGTGTCCCCTATGCTCCAGCACTTAGCTTGGCAACCTCATCAGTCAATACCTTGCATCCTGTACACTTTGTTTATTTCTCCTCTAGCTTCTGAGTACTAAGTTTCCAACCCCAGTCTAAGAAGTAGACCTGGACCTCTTTTTCAGGATGATCTAATATGACAGCTCATCTCCCACAGAAGGCCAGCAGGAGAAGCAGAGGTGATGGCTGGGTTTCTGAAGAGCATGCCTTTCCTATACAAAGTCCACTGTTGGTGTGAGAAGCTGTAGATGCAGCCTCTCTTGTTTAACTGTCACTTTTCAAGATCAAATTTGCCTTGAAATCTTCAGCCTTGTCTACTTCAAGAGTCAGCAAATTCTCTTCTGCCAATACAGTAGCCTGTTGTGCTGCAAAATGCAGCGGCAGCCTCCTGATCTTTCTCTCTATAAAGGGAGCTTGGGCAGGACCCATCTCTCATCTTTCTTGCACATGAGTATGAGTCAAGGAACCTCAGCCTCCAGATCAGTGAAGCTGACTTCCTATGGAAACTTCCTGTTACAGTCGCGAGGCCCTGGTCAGTGGCAGATGCAGTCCTTCACAGAAGATATAACCCAGACCTCAGGTTTAAAATTATCAGTGTTTGCTTGTACATCCATATGAACCCATTACATCACTATAACATGTCAATATTTTATTTTATTTTGAGACATTTTATCTAACTGCACTCTTTTACCATTTGTATTCAGCAAATTATCTGAGAAGATTGTCTACTTACTCTTTCTTTCTAGTTTTGCATGCACATATTTTTCTTTCTTGGAGACTGTCCATTAAAGCTCTGTCACTTTTGGAAAGACAAAACATTTCCTCAACAAATCAGTCAAGGGAAGCAGTTTGTGATGTATGCCAGGTGCTGTGTAAGAACTAGGAGGGTGAGGGGTGATCAGTGCTCAGAAGTCACCTGGACTCTAACATGGAATATGGGGAAATGATTTGCTGGATCTCATAAAGCACACCTGAGGCACTCTCCTGATTTAAAAATCATACGAGGGTAGAGTTAACATAAGAGTTCACACATGTTCACATACATGCACATCTGCACGCACCCAGATTATGAGCCTCTCTTTGAACGTGGATATAGTTACAGTACAACATTAGCAAACTGAGTCCATCATTGTGTAAAAAGGATAATACATCATGACCAAGTAGAGCTTAAATCAGAATTGCAAAGATATTTCCACATGAGAAAATATATTACTTTAACAACTCACTGTATTAACAAATTGTAGGAGAATATTGTCTGAACATACGCCCTTAAATTCTAAAAGCAATCAACACCCTTTCCTAATGAAGGATAGGAAGAGATGAAAGCACATGACTTGATAAAAATGGACAAATAGAAACCTAAACTAAACTTCATTTTTACTGCTAAAATATTAGTCTTCTTCTCATTCATGTCAGGATTAAAAGAAGGATGTGGCAGGCCAGATGTCCATGTCTTACATCCTTGGGTCCTGTGGCTATACGGTTAAATTGAGGACCTTGTGCCAGGGAGTGACTCAGGTGAGCCCCATGTGACCATGAGGGTCCTGCAAGAGGAAGAGGGAGGCTACTGAAGTGGTGCTTGGATCAGAGGAGGTTTGGAGGTAGTACTCTGGGGGCTTTGAGGATGAGGGAGGCCCCAGGGTAGAGCAGCTTCCACTATGCCAATGAGCAGAGTTGACACTGAAATTACTTGAAACAAAGAAAAGCCCATCAAAGCAAAGTTGCCAAAGCATCTGAGAAGCACAGTACTTCATCAAGGACAAAGACAGTAGGCAGACCAAGCAAGAAGAGATGGGTCAGAGATATCCCATACAGTGCACAAAGACTGGATTGAAGAAGTATTTGAAAATGTCACAGACAGGACCTGAAAAATATTTGCAATATTTTCCATTTGCATGAAAATTTGAAATTTATAAAACACTTCATATTGATCAAAGACTTTGTTGTATTGTTTTAACCAGGTCCTCAGCTGCTACAGATATCTGAAATTTCATTTTGTGGTTTCAAGTGCAAGGTTCTAGGAGGGCCTTCACAGACATTGTCCTTTTGGATTAATATGCTTTCCCCAGGGCCACTTACTACTGTTTCCTGAAGTCAATGAAGTTCTAGTAGACTCTCAACATCATTAAAGTGGTCCCAGAGGGCCACAGGGACATCCTGGGTCAGACTGAGGGTGAGCTAAATAGGAGAAAAAGGAGAGGCAGGAGCCCAGTTCATGCCACCCTAGAGCATTTGCTTACAAATGTTAAGGGTCAGGCATTTGGCATCTCTCAGCCACAAAGAAAGTCACTCCCAGACACGGGAGTTGAAAGCACAGCTAGTGTCACAAATTTAACTATTCTCAGTTCTTGTCTTTCCTCCTAGTGAGCAGGCTAAGGCTCCAGACAGAACTAGAAAGTGCTCACTCTGTAACAACACACAACTCATGGTCCGGCAGCGATAATGGCCCATAGCGCCCCCCCCACAGGAAAGACATGGAAACACAATCCCAGCAAGTCTCCCTGGACCTGCTTACCTGGGGCCTTCAAGCAAACATAAGTTTTGCCTTTGACAAGCTTATCATCAACCCACTAGCAAAAATCAAATATCAAAAGAGCCTCTTCTGCAGAGGACCATATCTTCATTGTTATACAGAAATACTTCAGAAAGCCCAGGTAAAGCAGAAACTGAGAGATGAGGGCAAACGGGGCCCTCTTCTTTTTTAAGCTCCCTAGTTCTATATGGTTCTCAACCTTGGTTGTGTATAGACATCATGTGGGAGCTTGAAAAATATTGCAATGCAATACCTTATGCACAAAGCTTCTGGAGGAACTGGTCTGGTCTGAGGGAAGGCCTGGGCATCAGGATGCAGCAAGGCCCCTTAGGAGATCTCATGCACAGCATGGGGTGAGGACCAACTATCAAGGTGATTCCAAAGGCCAAGCAGAGTTCAGCCTGCTGTGCTAAAGTGCTAACTTTCAAAGGTGCTGGTATAACAGCCAATGATTTGGGTGACTTGAAGGTGATGGATGGAACTGGCCAGAACACTGGAGCTGGAGCTGTGGGAGCACCAGGCAGCAGCTAGGGGACAGTGGAACATGAGCTCCACCTTTTGAAGGATACTGCCTGGGTGATGGGTGACAGGTGGCCAGGAGAGAGTTCAGGTTTGTTTTTGTTCTTTAAGAAAAGAGATCAGGCTATTTCTGCATAGAGTAAGGATATCTGCATAAAGAGAGTGAGCATCAACCTTTCAAAAGCCCACGGGGACAAGGAAAAGGAGGGTCCAGCCCAGGGCACAGAGGGGAGGGTTTTCCTTCATGAGAAAAAACAGGGAACTAATATTTGCTGAGTATCGATTTTGCTGGGTAGCAGGCCAGGCCTGTTATACTTGTGATTCCCTTGACCCTTCTCCACAAATCCTCAAATACCTTTATGATATGGAAATTCCTGTACCCAGAATTCCTGGGTCTCCACTACCTATACTGATGATAGTTCCTAATCTAATACTCCTAAAGATCACAGTGATCAAAAGTCTTCTGCAAACTCAACCAGATTTATTGTAGAAAGAAGTACAGTATGTGAAAGAAATCTAAGCAACTTGGCTTTAAAGAACACAGTTGACAAAATCTGCCTGAATGTAAATGATGGGTGTCTGACCACTCAGAGGAGTGCCCCTCCCCCAGGTACCTCATGGCCATATTGTGTGCTGCAGTCCCCAGAGCTCTCCTCCCAAGGATGCACAGGGCAAAAGACAGAGTCACCAAAGGAGAGTCTTCATCACTGTCCAGGGTCTTTGAAGGCTGAAAGAGCAAGGACATGAGCTCAGCTTTTACCTAGGTTCCCTGTATACTGATATGGCATCACAAGTGTGGAGCTAGAGGCTGCTTGTTAGGGGCCACTGTGGTCACCCAGTCTCCTCTGAAATGGCTCAAGGATGGGAACTCTGCTTCTGGAAGCAGTTTTTCTTGTGGGTGGGCATGGGGGGAAGTGGGAAAAGTGCTTTGAGAGAAAAAGAGCTAAGCTGTGGCTGATGAACTAATTCTCTGAGATTTCAAATATGATTCTTCAGGTCATGAAGATGTCAGGCTCGAAGCCAAAGGATCCCCATCTCGGCACTCTCCTGCAGGGAGAGGCAAACCTTGATTCCAGTGCAGATGAGGGCCTTCTCTTCTCCCCATGGGGAGGAGCCCTTTGGATTGACCATAAACCTACAATCAACAACTAAGTTAAAAGAGAACAATCAATGAAAAGGGGGAATGCAGAAAAAATTTCAAGTCAAAGTATCTTTTGCAAGGAAAACAGTAATTTCATGAACCAACACTGGAGAATGAAATCATCACTGGACGGCCAACTGTATCAGTGGATGCCGTGTCTGGCTTCACCACCTGAAGAGGCCCTGCCTGGGCTAAGGGTCTCTGCACATTCCTTCTGGTTGTCTGGAGACAGCAGGTTCTGCCATGTGCTTTCCTGCCACCTGTTTTCAATCACACATAAGTAATCCAGGGCCTGGGTTTGTGCGCAGTTCTACTGACTTCCCACACTACGAATTTCATTGGCTGCCAAGGAAGCTGCTTCCAGCTTGAACCCACTTTCTCCACTAATGCACAAGGGCTCAGTGAGCTGAGTTCCTGCTGTGCTTTCCTCTATCCCCTTCTCCTCTGCCTCCTCTCTTCCCTTTGGAAGTGCCATTGTTCTTGGTTCCATTTCTAAGATCAGGTCTACCTCCAGAGGCATCCTCTGCATGGGGACAAAACTGGCACAGGGAAATAACACCTACAGAAGGAACCTGGATTGTCTAACTGCAAAACAGACTTGGCGTATGCACTATTCAATGGCTCAGCAAGTCTTCCCAACCTAAGAATGAAAATGTTCTGTCCAGCAGTCTCAGAATGTGGGTGTAAACAGAGCTTTCCAGTGTCCTGATGCTTAAAACTGTGCACAGTTTAAAGGAACACTTACCTTCATAGATCCTTCCTTTTGGAGAAAAATTATATTAATTCTTGCATTAATTTTGCTTAACTGTTTAACATTTATCTAGATACTACTTTTTCTCTCTCCTATTTTATATATACTACCCTGGAGAATAGGAAGAGATGGACAGTTAACAATCCTTGGTTTTTACATTTGTGTTCAATGTTGCAGCCCCAGCTACCTCTTCTACTCCTACCTCTTGTCTCTTCCCCGCACAGTACTGAATCCACTCCAGGTAGACGTTGCAATAGCTGGCTCGGGTTATCCCCTGCAGACACGGGACATAGTCATCATCGATGTTGATGTTGAACATTGCAAGGTCACGCTCAATGTGATGCCACTTGGCAAAGGGCTGCAGGGACTTGAGAAGTGAGTCATTCTTGACCCAGGAGAGGAGCTTGGGGGATGCCACCATGTAGTATATTATACTCTGCGGAGAGAATGTGAGATTTTGAGCTCTTAGAGCCATTCCAAAGCCAGGCAGGTTTTTTTTTTCTCTATTAGATATCAGGAAGTAAATCAATCTCACTCAGGTCAGCATGAGATGAACCCCATATGGGGGGCCATTTGCACTTCTTCTGGGTTTGATGCATGGAATCAACCTAAGACTTTCCAAGATGTCCTCTCTCTCAAGGGCCATTGTAGGAAAAAGTGAGAAGAACTGAATGTGAACAGAAGTTCATGACAGGATATGAGTGATGAGAAGGAGCTATAGCAGCCCTGTCCTCCAAGAGACATGTAAGAAACACCCTTTGCCAGGGTCCTGTAGGCCTCTGAGGATGCCAGGTGAGGCCAGTCATAAGGAAAGGAAATGGGCAACCCTCTTCCAAGGCCTGGCTGGAGCAGTCAATGCACTGAGAAAATTTAGTGCTTGTGAAAAGTCATGATGATGTACAGCTGTAGTAACACAAGTACATTCTTCATCCTGATGATCAGACAGTAGACACCTGTGGTTGTTTACAACTAGCCCACATAAGCTGGGTGTGGTGGTGACACCTGTAATCCCAGGCTTCTGGGAGACTGAAGCAGGAGGGTTGCAAGTTTGAGCCCAGTGTGGACAATTTGGCAGCTTGGTAAGACCCTATCTATAAAATAAAGGGCTGGGGATGTAGCTTAGTGCAAAGGCCCTGGGTTCAATCCCCACTGCTAAAAAAAGAGAAACAGCTCATGTTTCCCCTCATTCAGACTGTACTTAAAGGTCCCACCTAAGGAAAATGCCACCCTCAGGATTTGATATTCTGAGCCTCAGCTTTCTCAAATGTTGTCTTGTAGTTTCTGAATGAATTCATCCCTCAAAAAGGCTACTACTTAACCTGAGGAAGTAAAACTGCGACGGAGAAAATTAAAATCCAGGCCTGATATGGGCACACAGGCAACAGACAGAGGCATGCTGCTGAGTAGTCACATCTGACAGTTGCTGGATTTTCATGACAACAGAACAATGGAAATGGTGGCCAGGGCTGATGACACCAAGGGGTCTCTGGGAGATGGCTGCACATCTCATCTGGAAATCATGAGGCACAAGGGGGCACAGTGGTTGCAAAGAGAACCAGACAGGGAGTCCTTCTCTGTTATCAAACACACTCTTAGGAAGTAATGACAGCTGGATGGTTGTGGTGGGGACAAAGACTCCAAGCAGTGGGCACAGAGGCCCCTCTTTAGGAAGGCTCCTGGCTTCCTCTCCTACACCCCCCTCCCTCTGGCTGGGAAATGATACCCGGGGCACAGAGCGCAAGGAGCCCAGGTGTCTGACTTTAGTTTCTCCAGGGGGCTGAGCAGGGGACTGGGCAGCCATACAAGTGGTTAAACAACCTCAAATGCCTGATTCAGCCTCTCTTCTGTCAGGAATGAGGGTAGTCTGGACTTGGAGCAGGCTTATCTGTGGTTCCTGGCAGATGCTCTGCCTTCTTTGGAGCATAATTTCTATTAGGCTCCACAGTCTCACCTCCCTCAAAATGAGGAAGCAGGAGCGACGGAGTCTGTAGGCAAACATTGGAATTCAGTAGCCTGGGTGTTCCCTACTCTGCAACATTGTGCCCCAGGATGGCCACGCTAGCCTGAGAAACCCCTTCACTGTGAGGCAGAGGCAGAGCAGGAGGGCTGCAGGCAGAAGTGAAGGCAGCTAAAACTTGGAGGGACAGACAGGCGCACTGGTGAGACCCACTGCTCACTGCTGTCCTGAGGTCTGAAGTGAGATTGTGCACATGAAGGATTCTACATGGCCGGGTGCAGTGTACACAGGCAAGAAACAGCAGAAATGGTCAGGGGGTGGACAGGTGTGACTTACCTGCCCAGAAAGTGGGCGGAGCATGGGGTCAGGGAGCAGGCAGGGTAGCAGCAGCCGCAGCAGCAGAGGAAAGGCTGAAGCAGAAGGTGAGGGACAAGGGTGGTAGTAGGGGACAGGATACAGCTGTGCACATTTGATACTCAAAAACAAATACTCTGAATCTGGAAGGTTGCTGGCTGGATGACTCCTACAAGGTGGACAGTTTAAGTAGATGCCCAAAGTTACAACAAAAAGAGAGTACAGTGGTTCCCCCAATCCAATTTCACATTATAGTAAATGGAAAATTCCAGAAATGAGCCCTTCATATGTGAGTTTTAAATTGCATGCTGCTGTTATGATTAGCAGCATTAGTAGCACGGAAACATCTTGTGTTATCCTGCTCTTGGAATGTGAATCATCCCTGTCCAGTGGAGCCACACTGCATCGCTCACCCCTAATTGTCCTTTCTTAGCCAATTCAGTTATCAGATTGACCACAGTGGACACCACAGGGTTTGGGTTCAAGTGACACTTATTTTACCTAATAATGACTCCAAAAGAGTGAGATTGATCCTGGGAACTGGCAAATGGCAAAGAGAATCCATAAAGTGCTTTCTTTAAGTGAAAAGGTCAAAGTTCTCCACTTAAGAGACGAAAATGACATGCTGAGATCTACGGGACAATGACATAACTTGAGAGAGAGGGCGAAAGGATACATTCATACAACTTTTATTAGAGCGTATTGTTATAATTGTTCTATTTCATTATGAGTTACCAGTTACCATTGTTATTATCTTATTGTGCATTTATAAATTAAACTTTATCATATGTGTGTATATATATATATATATATATATATGAATGAGCTCTGCCACTCATGCACAGAGGGTCTCGGAGTGAATTCCCTGTGGATAGGGGATGACAGTGCTGTCCAGGCTCTGAACTGTGTCCACAGGCTCAGCCTCTCACTGAGCATTACAAGGAGAAAACAATTTTGGCCTCTGAACATCTGGCTCTAGCAAACATCTGACCTAGTTTTTCCAAATTTGTCCTAATCCTGTACTAGGTAAGAATAACAAACAGAACTTAAAATCAAAGCTTTCTATTTCATTCCTTTCTGGGGGGTGGGAATTGACCCTACAAGGGATGCAGTCAGAATAGTTAATGAGGACTTTGAATCCCAGAGGCGGCAAACATGCCCTCCTCCAGGCCTGCCAGAATCCTGCAGCATCAACTGCAAAATATGATCAGGCTCATCTCCATCTCCACTTTACTTAGGCAGAAATTCTGTTGTGGAGACATCATCAGTGAACCCTGTGAAATCCTTCAGCATCTGTCAGGGTGAAGTGGAGAGCAGCCTAAGCCGAGGGTGGTGATGACAATGAATGACTGCGCAAACCTGGCCTGTGTCGGAAGAGGAGCCCCCAGAATGAACCCACAGTACCTGTGTCCTGCAGCTGGCTCCTGGCTTCTCACTGTGACTGCAGGCCAGTGTATCTCATCAGACACCTCATCCTGGGAGGGGGCCTTGGTGGGGGACCAGCAGGGTGGGGTTTCACACATCATTGTGCACGGTGGCAAGCAATAAGGCTAAGGCACCAGACACAGTGGCAGCCACATGCAGGCTAGGCCTCAAAGAAAGCTGAGTTCTTAATTCTAGAAGGGTTTCAAGCACTAATAAATTGAGGGAGAGATGGAGGACACACAAGGGAAAAGATCCAGTTATCAGGAAGGACATGATTTCAAATATATTCATAGAGGGTGGGGAAAGTGACCCAGTTTATTAGAAGAGTTAAAAAAAAATCTCTTTGTGAAAAGAAATCATTTCAAAGTTTCTTTCCATTTCAATTTGCCTATGCAATAGGAAAATCATAGAAAAAATAAGACCAAACTCTTAAAAACTGAAGTAATTCTGAGCTATGAGGCGGCCGGTTTGCACACCAAGGAACTCAGACCAAAAACAAAGAATTCATTTATTTTCACCCCAATGCTGCTGCTTTTGCTACATTACCCCATCAGCCTCCTGCAGTTTCCCTTAACCCTAATACCATACTGGGGAGGTGGGAAAATTCTGAGCTAGAAGGGTGGAACGGTCCTAAATATTGTGTCTGGGCCTGACTTGGCATTAATTTGAGCGCACATGCCTGTAGTGGTTCCCCAGCCTACAAAGGTATCAAATCACTTAGGAAGTTACTAAGAAGCTATAAATTCTTGGGCACACCCCAGGCCTACATCCTCAGCACTGCTGAGTGGGACACAGGACTTTTCAGTCACCTCACTTGCTGGAGGATGCAAGGCCATGATCTTCCTTGGCTCAGAGAAGTGCAGTGCCTCTTCCTTCCCAGGTCGGAACCTGTCCTCTCTTCCTTTTCTTAGGGGAATGAGGGGCCTGGTTTCCTCACAAGCCTGGCACTCCCCTCAGCCCTCCTCTATCTGCACAGCACTCTGGATTTGTTGGTCAGATTTCAACCTGTCATCTTGGAGAACCCACAGGGGTTAGGAAGCACATTTCAGGAGCTAGCAGAGGAGCCAGGCGAGCAGAGACCACAAGTCCAGGGGAGGGAGGGAAGCATGGAGCCCCTGGCCTCTCAAAGAGCTGAGCAGCTCTTCTCTCTCACCTGTCATGACCTGCTGGCTTCGTGATATGGGGTCAGAGCTGTCCACATGTCTGGCTTCTGGAAAGGTTGTTTGGGTTAGAGTTAGAGACAGAGCTCAGTATTGAACCCTGCTTTCACTCCTGTGTCTGGCACAGGCTGTTCAGAACCTTAGCTGGACCTGGCTTTCTGCTATCCAGACTGCATGACCTGACCTCAGAATCCATGTTGCCCAGAACCTCTGTTCTTACCATCTGAACTGCCTTGGGTGCATCGATATGCAGTGCCCCCGAATAGCTCTGGGGAACACAGAGGGGTGGGGTGTGGCTGCTCTCATCCTAGAGGAGAAGGTAGGGTAAGGATGCAGAGAAAGGGGAGTGATGGACAGGCATGGCCCCCAGGCAGCTGAGAGGAAGGGCTGCCATGTGAGCCAAGGCTGCAGAGCAGCTATGGGACAGAGACAGTGGTCCCTTCGGTGGGCGGGCCAGGAAGATGTGCTCTGTGTGTACACAGAGCAGGAGGAGTCAGAGGAGCTGGAAATGGTGGCAGCAGCAATGGAGGGCTCTACAGGGCAGGTGAAAGAGCCTTGCCCTTCAGGCAGCATGGAGAGACAGCTCCAAGATTCATCCATCCGGCCTGTGAGGTACCATACTGCTGACCTAGCTGCCCCTTCTTAGCCATCTGCTTCACGAGCCCTTTACCAATCAGCCCCTGGACCCGGGCCTTCTTGTAACCGCCTCGGCTTTCTGCCTCATGAGAACTAAAGGAGATTCACAAAGGACAATTCTCTCCTTGATAGAAAATGACAGAGAGGGCTGGTGGCCACTTGTCACTTGTTTCCTCCTTTTTCTAGAAAAATATAATGCTCAAAATACACTTTCCAGACCTCTCCCCTCTGGCATAAGACAACGTTCTAGCAACAGGACATGGCAAAAACATCCTGTGGCAGCTTCCAGGAACTGCCTCTTAAGGCAGCTGGCCTGTGTCCTTGGGCTTCATTCTCCCTGTCCTTTCCTCTGAGGCAGGAGGAAGAGCCTGGGATGGGGGCAGAGAGGCAGAGGATAAAAGAGAAAGCCAGCCCTCCAAAATGGCAGACAGTGCCCAGTTCTAATTAGCTCCCCAAACACCTGGTAAAGACGCGGGGACGTGTGCACTGTGGGCTTGGAGGGTGGGGCAAGATAGCTTTCCAAGACCACAGAGAGCATCAAGTTCTAACAACTAAGTCACACTTGGTTAAAAACAAGTGCACGCATGGGCTATGGGTCACCTGGAGCACCCAAAAGTAAACCCAAATTAACTATAATCTCATTTGCATTTTGTTTTTAAACCCCAATGGGCTTTGGGAACCATAATAGTTCCACAAAGGTCCATACAGGGACAAAAACTCCTCCCACCTCCAACAAAAAGGAGACTTGGTCCTGATTGAAAAAATCTCCCTGCATCAGTTCAAAGAGTTGCCTCCTCCCTGCTGAAACCACTTGTAGGCACTGGTACCTGGCTTCTTTAGGACCATGAACTTTCCCTCACTGGCCCACTTCCATCCTGTGGAGTGTACTTTCATTTTAATAAACTTGTGCTGCTTCCACTTTCTCTGTGTCCTGTTCAATTCTTTGGTTGGAATACTAAGAACTTGGAAAATTTTTAGGCCTCAACTATCCAGTAATACTCATCCTTTTAAGCCTGTGACTGAAGTCTTGGGAACATGCAATGGGGGGTACAACTAAAAGGTGGAGGTGGGCACTGGCAAGACTGGGGATTGCTGAGAACTTCATGGGTCCTAGCCCAGCCTCTATCTATGTATGAGAGAAATAAACTTCTAATGCATGTTTTGGCCTCTGTCATTTCATGGCTGCTGCCAAGTCTAACACCAGTAGGTGACCTGAGTCTGCCTAGGGTTGACACTGTGCATGAGAACTGCTTGTGTTCTCATTTCTGAGGACGTGGGGAACCAGCCAAGAAGTCATGAGGCCAGTGGGTCACAATCTCCCAATTTACATAAGATTGGACAGGACATTCATAGTTCTCTGTGAACATTGGATATACAGCTCTCATCTCACCAGCGTACACACTGTAGTGTGGAAAAGCAGATTGATTTCTAAATCCTTTGCAAATCCTCTGCCTCAGAACAGGGTCCTGAAAATACCCAGGGTGCAGTAAGGAAGAGCTATCGACCTTTCTGACCTCCAGAGTCTACTCTCCAACTCCAGTGAACTTAAGCAACGACAGCAGACATTGGGAGCAGCTATTCCAAACTTTCAAATCTCCTGCTTTGTGCCTGGCTGAAGCATCAGGACCTCTTGGTCTCTTTTTATTCTGTATTTCCTCATCTCTGCCATGCCACTTGTGCCCTCTCAGCTGGCAAGGAGTTTTGCAGTCTCCAATGGACATGCTTCTTCGTTTGGATCTGGATTAAGATGTGGAGCTGTCAGTGCCCCATCCAGGGCTCTCTCCATGACTCTTCCCCCAGGAGGGGACCCACCATGGAGACTCAGCACATTGCCCTCACCTGGCCCTTCCCCTTCAGAAAACACCTCAGTCCTAACCAGCTCTCTGAACTGCAGGCTGGGTGCCACACTCTAAACTGCATATTTTCTGAGCAACTGAGACAAGATGTGATTGGTCTCCACATGCATGAGGAGAAAAGGCCATCAGAACTAATCCTCACCAGATTATTTAGCTATATTTTTGAGTTTTTATCACCAGTTTAAACAATTATTCTAGTTCTAAAGAGGACAATTTCTAGGGCATCTAATGTGACGCAGTTTAACTCAAACATCGAGTCTTGTGAACTTCTTACGACGTTTAACTTTATCATCACCATCATTACCGGTACCTTGCATTGGGTGGAAGTGAATACAGGCTGCCTGCTGTGCCGAGCTTGGGAGCACATGGCAAGACACATGCCTGAGACTAAAGCAAAGCCCTGTTAGGTTTTTCATGAGGACAGTGGTTCCCAAACCTAGCTGGATCTCCAATTCAGAAGCTGGGAGACATTCCAGCATCCAGCTGTCTGCAAAGCTCTTCAGGACCTGCCCTTGTCCACCCAGAATGATTCCTCAGACAATGTTTGCGAGCACAGTGGTACCTTGATATAGTACTGGATGAGGACCCTGCGGAGGTCAAACACCTGCAACATGGTGGCTGCATTGTTGTCAATGATGCTGTAGCCCTCCAGGATGTACTGTGTGCGTGCAACTTCCCAGGTGAGCCAGCGGAGGCGAAACGCAGCATTGCAGGACAGCAGGTGGGGCAGGTGACCAGGCTGGCAGCAGCAGCAGCCTCTGTCTTCCTCATCACCTTCCATGATGGCTTCCACTTCCCGCTGCTGGCAGTAGGTTCCTGGCCAAGCACAACAGGGTAGGAGTTAGAAGAGAGGTTGTGCTACAGCTGTCCTTTGTAATGATTTCACCTAGCCTTCATCAGGAGACAGTCTAGGAACAAGATGTGTTTACTCTTAGTCCACAGTGTTTCCCCCAAACAGTCACAATTCTCATTACCTTCTATTCATTCATAATCATTCTGATTCTCGTGTGCTACCCACATTTTGTATTCTGATGGCTTGTGCTCAAGGTAGTCATGGACAACAAGGTGAAATGAAGGATGTTGACAGCCCTGACCTGTACATCATAACTGAGCAGGCAGAAGGCTAATGGGATGGTGGCAGGTGGAGGTGCCTGAGAGCAACCAGGTGTGTGCTGAAGTGTCACCAGGTGGGGGCCCAGAAGGAGATGCTGCTGCCAAGGTGGAAGCACATGCACCTGCGATCACTGTGGGATCAGGAAGGGGCTCTTGAGCTGGGTACATTCCAGGGCCTTCACTCCAGAAGCAGGAGAATGTGGTGGTGTGAACAGTCTTTGGAAATGGACGCCATCCCTCCTTCAATATTTTTATCAAAAACTTAACAGGAAACAGACAAAATGCTCATGACAGGAGGTTATTGCTATGACCTTGAAGGCAGAATTGTCATCTAAAATGATCTTGGTAGGCAGAATCTAGTACACTCTTCGGGCAGAGTTCATTGTAAGAAAAACCATTTAACAACTGGGAGATGGACACCCCTGTGGGAATGAGAAGGTAGGGAGCTGGTGGTGGGGAGACAGAAGCAACAGGTGCAACAGCCGCAAGTGCACATTATGTGGCCTGTAATTCAGAGAGAAGAGAAGGAATAGGCAAAGCCAGGAAGCACAGCAGGTCAACTACAGCCTTTGCTGCTAGAGGTAGAGTGTGGACATATTATTCAGGATAGCTGAGTCCTAAGCATGCTTATTTAACACAAGAGGAAAAAAGACAAAAGAATTTAAAGAGATGGATGACAACAGAGATCCTAAGTAGCTTAGGGATAGTAGAAAGAAAAGGCAAATGTAAAGATGAAAATAGTTCAACGAAATAAAGGAAGTGGGCTCTTCCAGATGCCAAATCTGTGTGTACTTGACCTTGGACCCCCTAGCCTTCAGAACTGTGAGGAATAGATGATTGTTGTTTAAGCCACCCAGTCTATGGTATAATTGTTACAGCAGCCCAGACTGAGATAAGTTCTCACCAACTAGTTCTGACAACAGTTGTGCAGAGTGGCAGTGGCTTTTAATGTAATCTCAACAACCACAGGATTGCAGCTACTTCCTGTGGCTGGCTGTAAAGATACACCTGCTTTAACAATTGGCCATGCTGAAGGTGAGGCTTATGTTTTCCCCAGAAAGCTGAGAGCCAAAGGAGGATGGTCACCTAAATGGAAGGTCTAGTAATGAAAAAAAGTCAACCAAAAGTACCCCCATTCCAAACGAACCTACTGTAGGTGCCTCCTTAGCTCAGAACACTGGGCTAGAGGACAGGATCCATCAAGGGGCCTTGGGGGCTCAAGGCAATTGGAGCAGGAGAGTTGTAAACCTCATGTCTACAGGTAACAAGCAACAAGATGTTCAAGTCCAAGGAAGCACGAAGAGGAAGGGTGTACTCTCCCCCACAACCTCCAAGGTTAAGGGAAGAAAATGAGGGACAGGGAAACCAGACACCACCGTCCCATTTCAGATGACAAAGAATGGGGACTGGAACTAAGGTGTGGGGTGTTTAACAGATCCTACTCTTCCTGACACTAATTCCCTAGGACAGAATTCCAGGATATGAGATTAAAAGAACATTCAGGTCCTCTGACCCAGCCATGTGCCTGGGGAGGATATTCTTGTATTTGTTAGCTCTCACAGATTTAATTTCTGAGAAGAAATAACTATTGTAATAATTTTATAAAGGCTGTGTATGTGACAAAGTGACAGCTAACATCACACTGAGTGGACAGAAGCTGAATGTGTTTCCTCTAAGGTCTGGAACAAGACAAGGGTATCTACTCTCACTGCTTGTACTCAATATAGTACTGGAAATTTTAGCCTCAGCAATTAGATAAGAGAAAAAAATTAAAAATCATACAAATAGGAAGTCAAAGTATCCCTGTTTGCAGATGATATGATTCTCTATGTAGATAAAGCTAAAGTTTACATCAAGACTATTAGAACTGATAAAAAATTTAATACATTTTCAGGATAGAAAATTAACATACAAAAATCAGTAGCACTTTCATGCATCAATAACAAATTTGCTATGAAAGCAAATCCATTCACAATAGCTACAAATAAAATGAAATATGCAGAAATAAATTTAACCAAGAAAGTAAAAGGGTTCTACAATGAAAATTACAAAACACTGGAGAAAACAAATGCACGCACACACACACATGCACACACACGCACACACACATTGGAAAGACCTCCCATGTTCATGGTTTGGAAGAATTAATGCAGTTAAAAATGTCTCTGGTGGGAGGGCAGGGGAAGGGGGAAAAATAAGAACCAAGAGAGATTATGTAAAAGGTGCAAATTTCCAACAATGAATGTCATTATATTGTATACCTAAAATGTACCAATAAAATAAAATTTTTTTAAAAAGACCTTGTAAGTGCAAAAAAAAAAAGTCTCTGTTACCAAAAAAAAAGAGTCCATACAAGGGGTGATACAAGGGGTGATGAAAATATATAGTGAATGTTTAAATTTTAAAGACATTTTACAGTAAAAGATACATTGCCATTAATACCTCTCAGAATACTCCCCTTCACTTTGAACATGCTTATCTCATTGTTCTTTCTGCTTTCTAAAGCAGTTCTGGAAGACTTCTCTTGAGAATGTCTTTTCGAGGTATGGTCAAAAGTACAATAAAAGCTGTTGCTGAAAGCCATCCAATGAAAAGGCAAGCATATAACAACATTACAGTGTGTCCTCATTTACCTTATTCACTGGATCTGGCACTGTGTGACTTTCAGCTCTTTGCCAAAGTGAAAATGACCACAAACAGTAAATGAGCCAGCCCTGACAGTGCAACTACAGACACTCTTAAAAAAGTTTCGGCACAGCAAAGGAAGTGGCAGAAACAACCTATAGAATGGGGAAATATTGCCAACTATTCATCTGACAAAAGATAACTAGCCATCCAGACTACATAAGGGACTCAAAAAGCGTAACAACAAAAACCACACAATCCAATTAAAAATGAGCAAACAATCTGGATAGATAATTATCAAAAGATAAAATTTAAATGGGTGACAAATGTATGAAAAATTTCTCAATGACCATTAGCCACGAGGGAAATGCAAATCAAAATTGAAATGAGACATCATTTCATCCCAGTCAGAATGGCTATTATCAAAACACAAAAACAAAAATAACAAATGCTGGTGAGGATGTGGAGAAAGAAGGAATCCTCATGTACTGTTGATGGGAATGTAAATCAGTACAACAATGTTGGGAATAGTATGAAGGGTCTTTAAAAAAAACTAAATATAGATTTACTGTATGACTCCGCTATCTCACTTCTAGATACATACCCCAAAGAAAAGAAATCAGCATACGTGATTGTTAACTGTGATGTGTCAACTTGACTCGGGTAAGAACCACCTCACAGATTAGTGAAGCTCAGGTATGACAATGAAAAACTGAGGAGGGAAGACCCACCCTGATGAGGGTGGCACTAACTAGTAGGCTTGTAGCCTAGATGGAACAAAAAGGGGAAGAAGGAGGAAGTCTTCCCCTTTTCTTCTTTGCAGGAGTTCCAGTCTTCACAACTGCCTATGGACATTTGTCTCCAGTGCCCTCTTTTGCCTTACAACACAGACCTTCAGCTTTCCCACACAGACTTGTACTGGACTCTGCAGTGGGCTTCAGGCCTTTGACCTTCAACTGGATCCTTTGTCCCTCCAGCATGCAGATGACCATTTTACATACTTCCACCCCTGATTTCACAGGTGGCCACTGTAAGTCTACCTAGTAAATCCTGTGAATGATCATATATCTATTTATATCTATATCTATATCATCTATATCTATATCTATATCTATATCTGTGTTAGTTACTTTTCTCTCATTGCTGAGACAAAATATCTGACACCCAAAGTTAAAGGGGGAAAGGTTTATTCAGCTCACAGTTTGTAAAGGTTTCAGTCCATAGTTGGCTGGCTCCAAGGCAGGGTGGCACATGGCAGAGAGGCGTCCCAGAGGAGAACAGTTCATGGCACACACAAGGTGGCAAAGCAACAAGGGATCTTAGTAACTTCTTTTGACCCCTTTTATATTCTATCTAGGCTACTGGGATTAAGGCAATGCCAAACCAATTAGAGGAGTGATTTAGTAACTACACACCCTTAATTCCAGCATCACACACTCTAGATCCAGCTACCTCTGAAAAAGCCCCACATATGACCACACAAGGCTTTGAGGGTACATCTCAACATAAAGCATAATAATCTATATCTATCTGTTCCTCTAATACAGCATACAGAGAGATATTTGCATGCCTATGTTTGCTACAGCACTATTCAAGATAGTTGATGTGGAATCAGCTTAGTTTCCCATCGAGAGATGAATAAGTAAAGAAAATGTGGAATATGTGTACAATAAAGTATTATTCAGCCATAGGGAAGAATGAAATTCTGTCATTTGCAGAAAAATTGATTGAACTGGAGGACATTATATTGAATGAAATAAGTGAGATACATAAATACACACATGGTATGTTCTTCCTCATGCACTAAAGCTAAAAGCCATTGACTTGAATGTAGAATAGTGTTTACTACGGATTGGTAAGGGTTGGGAGAGCAGGTACATAAAGGGAGGCTGGATTGGGTCAGTGTACACTGTATGAGTGTGTTGAAATATCACACTGAACCCCATTAATGTGTACAATTAGTGGATACTAATCAAAATGATATAAAATATTTAAAAATAAAAAATTATATGTCAAAGAACCTCAATTTGCCTTAGGATAGTCCATTAGGAATAAAATTCTATAAAGATTGCAATGTC